TATTAATTTTAATAATTATAATTAATTAATTTTTAATTATTTATTTAATTTAAAATTAATGGAAAAAAAAGAGTTGGTTCAGAGGGGGACTTGAATCTGTAATCCTGCATACTGTGCAGATGCATTTGCTACCAGAACTGTTAATTTAAATATAACCATACTGGTCACTCATGGTGCCAACTGGAATGACTTTAGTGCCCGTGGTCCTCCTTGGTTCTTGGCTACACTATTGCTTTTACCTCGGCACTGTGTATGTTTCTGCACTGTAAATGGGTTTGCAGGTTTAAGTCTTGCTCTATGCCAGTTCTTTTCTTCCAGAAATTTTAGATTAAATTAGAATAAATCTTTGGCAACTTTCTAGTTAGCTTTATCACAAATTGAGTCCAGTTGCCATATTTTTGCCAATGATTTAAGTTTCCATGTCATACAGAGCTGTTGATCATGTTAAAGAATTTTATTAATCTTAACCTGATTTGCATTTTAATTTGCCCAGAACTAGAGAGTTTTGTTTTTCAGGAAACTTTCCTTAGCCTTTGCAATTTTTCTATTATTCATTGTAAGCTGACATAGATGTGTAAATATATTGACTGTTCAATGATAATTATTATTTTTTATTCTTTATACAAAAGATACATGGTTTTTCCCAATGTGCAAAGGTTATATTATTTAATTTCAGATTTAATATTGGAATGCTTTTATCTTTTTTTTTAAAATTTATATTGTTCCAAGACAATGACATAAATTTTTAAAACTGCATATAATTATGAAAGTTGAATGTTTAGAATAAAACTGTTTGTTTTATTCCTGTATTTGAACCTGAGGATGGCTGATAAATTGCAACTACAAATATTTGTTAATTTTTAATTTTAATGTTCTACTGGCTTAAAGGCAATATGAATTTTAAAAACAGTTGCTGATAAATTCAATATTACAACTTTTTACAGCAATCTTTACCCCTGATGATGGGCTGAGAGACCTGAAAGTACTTGGGTTTAGAGAAGATACTCTGATGGTCTCCAAGAAAGCAGAAAAAGGTAGATTATAAAGATTTGGAGAGATTAGACTTTTAATATTCATTTAAAAGTTTTTGTAATTTTTTTCTCTAGTTTTTTCCTATGAGAAAAACATGTAACTACATGTAACTAATTTCATTAATTTAATTTACATGTAACTAATTTCAGATATTCAGATGATGATGATTCTTATTATATTTTTTGTATTTATCAGATTTTTAAATATATCTTCATTGTACAAATTGAATAACAGGAGTAATATAAGGCAATTTTGCCCAACTCTCATTCCAATATGGAAAGGTTGATTAATTTCTTGTTTCTTATGAAACTTACTGTTAGTTTTTATATAAGTTTTCAATTAATCTAAGGGCATTAGAGCTGCTATTGTCCTTTTCCTTTCTAGTATAAACGAAAAGTGTTTGTTGACCTATGACGTCAAAAACAGTTTATAAGAAGTACAAATAAATTTCTTTTTAATTTTAAATTTCTTTATGATTCTGTTTGCATCAAAGATGTCTGCTTTAATTCTCTTATTTTTTTGAAATCCCATTTGAATGTTTACAATATCAATTTTGTTTCTAGTTCTTTTTAAAGGTGCTGTGTTTATATAATTCTTCAAACTTGTCTATAATCATTGCAATCATTGGCTATTATTTTTGTTTTCTTTCTTTCAAGTGTTATGAATATTGGATTTATAAGTCTGCTGGAATCTAGCCTATATTATAAATTTTTGTAAGAAAATCAGTAAAGTATCTAACATGTTTGCTTCTAGAGTTTAAGAGAATTTTTAATAGATTTTCTTAGAACCCAAAGTTTTTTGGAGCTTTCTGTGTTCATATTTTTTGATATTGAAGTTTTTAAGTAACTTCTGTTAATACTTTGACACTTATCTTATTAACTCTTACTGAAATATATTAGTTTTTATTATTTGAAAATGTTATTTCTTCCAAAATTGCATTACAAATCTTTTTCACATGAGAAAAGGTGTTAGAAATGTTAGAATGATTGCTCTGAAGACAAACCAAGTGGTTTGAACGTACTAAATGAAGAGATGTTTCGTGTCAAAATACTCCATAAAAGCAGAAATGTGTTTAAATTATAAAATTGTTGGAATGATTCAGTAATAGAGAAAAGTTTAAGAATTGAACATTATTATTATTGTTTTGTTTTTTAAACTTAAGCAGTTTATACAATAAATACAACCAACCTGATGATTACTTCAAATATGAAACAAACAGCCAGATACCTTTATTGGTAATTTAATTAATCTCAGCAGTTGTTTTGCTTTAATTTACTTAATGATTATTTTGCCTTAATTGCACAATAAAGAAATCTGCCTGTTTGTTTGTTTATATCAGGGCTTCTTAAACTATGGATCACGACCCCATTTGGGGTCGCTTAGCGAAATCTTGGGGTCATGAAATTTTAATGCAAAATATTGAAAGTAATTTGTGAGAGTTTGAAAATGGCACGCTTTGTGTCATAGGTTTNATCTTTGGCAACTTTCTAGTTAGCTTTATCACAAATTGAGTCCAGTTGCCATATTTTTGCCAATGATTTAAGTTTCCATGTCATACAGAGCTGTTGATCATGTTAAAGAATTTTATTAATCTTAACCTGATTTGCATTTTAATTTGCCCAGAACTAGAGAGTTTTGTTTTTCAGGAAACTTTCCTTAGCCTTTGCAATTTTTCTATTATTCATTGTAAGCTGACATAGATGTGTAAATATATTGACTGTTCAATGATAATTATTATTTTTTATTCTTTATACAAAAGATACATGGTTTTTGCCAATGAGCAAAAGTTATATTATTTAATTTCAGATTAGAAAAAAAAATTTTTATCTCTTATGATATACATTATATTGTTCCAAGACAATGACATAAATTTTTAAAAGTGCNTGCTGTTCCTGGTGAGGATAGTTAGGTTTTTATGTACAGTCGATTCCCCCTATAACACTGTAGATACGTTCTGATTTTTGTGTATCCATTTTCTACGAATCCTTAAATACATGAGCCAATCACAGCCCGGCACGTGTGCAGTTTACGGACTAGGGCTGTTTGAAAGGTTTTCTTCCATAAAATTAATCAATTCTAGACTAATTCGACTCAGCATTTTCAAAATATGTATAATTTTTTGGGAATAATCCATATAAACTATGCTATAAACAAAAAATTGTAGGATTACTTACTGAGCGTGCATTGTTCGACGACACCATTGCTTAAGCATGCTTCCTGGTAAATTATTTTTTTTTTGCGAAAAATTTGCTGAACTTTGGAGACATCGTTAATATAAATATAATTTTTATGGACGTTAAATAATAAATGGTTTTTAGTAGGTCTGCTGCTCGTTTAAACTCAACGGTTTGTACAATATNAGCATGCTTCCTGGTAAATTATTTTTTTTTTGCGAAAAATTTGCTGAACTTTGGAGACATCGTTAATATAAATATAATTTTTATGGACGTTAAATAATAAATGGTTTTTAGTAGGTCTGCTGCTCGTTTAAACTCAACGGTTTGTACAATATCTGCTATTGGTCTAGATTCGACCGATCCTGTCGCGACACGAGTCGGTGATGACGTTTTACCGAATTATAGGAGTTTTTTTAGCGTGTTTGTACGAATATGATCGCAATTTTTCTGCCATCATATAGGAATCAGAACTATATGAACCCGTTTTATAGGGGTGTCTACTGTATATACATATTACACAAATTATTATATTTTATACTAGCAGATAAGCCCAGCATTGCTTGAGCAAAAAGTAACGATAGCAAAGATTAAGATTAATTCATTATAGCCAATCTTACCCATTCTCACAGAATGCAAGAATTAGTTCCCCCTGTTTCCAACTAATTAGAAAATTCTTAGATGGATCTAAAAATATGTTTGATTTTCTGCAAAAAACTGCATCTGTGCCTGTAAATCTTGCACATCACTTTCTCTTAACACTTCCATTGTTAACACTTCTCCAGTGGGGGAAATTTCGAAAAATCCTTTCTTAGTGTACATTCTCTTGACTTTTTGTTTGATTGTGTGTGTTCATCCTTTATCAGTTTTAGAGAGTTACAGAAGACAAATCCACTTTATTTAAAATTCTTAAACTTTTGATCATTTATTAATAAATTATTTTATAATTTTTCAAATAAATTCAAATTGGGGTTTCTCATTTGATATAATAAAATTTGGTGTAATTGGCAAAATCGTCAGGTTTATGTTATGCACTTGCAATGCAGTTTTCTTATTGGATTTTTTTTGGAGTGTATGTTTGTAATATCAGAATAGCACAAATTACTTTTAGATGGAAATGTAAGTTGCTTCCAGATTTGTTTTAGTGCAACCATATGGCTGTGCATAGGAACAAATTTTTAGACAGACTCAAAGATCTAGCAAAGAATGCACTGCTCTAAATAAAATAAGAAGTAAGTTGTATATGCAAGCAATACATAATAAAATTACAGAATATAAAAGAAAACTATAGATAAGCTACATAGGACATAGAAGATGGGGAGTTTGATGAAGCTGGACACATGCAAAATTGTTTAATCCTTGAAGATGATAGTGACCCTTTTCTTTATCACTAAAAGTATTATAAAAGCAAAATATTACAGAAGTACGTGACAGTTTTGGCCAAAATGGTTGAGAGCTTAAACTAACAGAGTAAAATAATAAATTATTTGGATTATCATACAAATCAATTTTGTGTAAAAATGAATTATTAATTTAGTTTCTTTTTTGTTCCTGAATTAATGTTAAATTTCAAGAATTTTTATAATTTTTAGATGTTTACAAATGATAATCAGTACGAACAGTATTGGCCTCAGGTCGGACCAAACACCAATATCGTGTCGGCTCCGTTTTTGAAAAGAAACAAGATCGCTCCTCCTGGAGAACACTCTCCTCGAAGTGAGGAAGAAATACCCCAGCTCGGTGAGAATTTCTTAAAATTTAATTTACAAATTTTCAATTTATTAATGGTTGCTTTAATGATTATATTAAAAGTAAATTATTTGAAATACATATATTGTGTTTAATTTAATAAAAATGAATATTTTATTATGATAATTTAAATAATATAAATTAAGATTTTATTACATTTTATATTTGTAGTGGTTTGAAAATTATAAATATAAATGTGAGAAGTACAGATGTAACTAAATTCATAAAGCATATTGTTAATTTTGCTGATTAAAAAAATAGTGCAATGTGCTTTGAAGAAATTTACATTCATTCAAAGCACTTACATTGCACTATTTTTAATATAATTAAATTAACCACACCACAAAAAACTTTAAAATCAATGATACTTTTCAATCTTCTAGCATTTTTGGTCCTTAGAAGATTCATGAAGTAAATAAATTTTGATCAGTTTGTCAAGTAAATAAATTAAATCCAAATATGTCTTTTGGCATTAAATTAAATTAATTTTTTTATTAACTTTATTTATTATTTAATTAAATCTTATATTTGACATCATATTGTGAGTATAAAAATGTTTTACATATTTTTGCAGATATGTAGCTTCTAATTAAAGATCATCTCTGCAAAGAAAGACTGTTTTGTTAACACTGTTTGATTGTGGCTGATTTGGAGATGACTTAGTTTCTTCTATTTTTCTATATTCTTATATTGTTGTATGTTTGTCATTTTATGTTTAAAAATTTAAAAATGACAATGATGAACATATGACATACACAATGACAAACATACAATAACAACAACAACATACAAAACTATGGAGTTGCATATATAAAAAATTTAAAATTTTTAAATATACAACTCCTTCATAATAACGATTCCTTTAATTTTTCATTTGCAAGAATATAAACTAAAAATCTTTGCAAATTTATGTTGTGTAATCACTTAACCTGGGGTCTAAAAATTTTCCTTTGCCTTGTCTCATTCCTACTGACATCATTATACTATTTTCTAGAATATGGTATCAATGAGGAATAGAAATCTATAAAATAATTAGTTGCTGGTAATTAACTTATTTTCTCATGCAAGATATACAGGAGTTTTTAAATAAAGAAGCCAATTTTAGTAATTTGGATTGCTGTCCGTCTTTTTCATTGAAGAATTGGATTACAGTAGAGCATCATTTATCCGAATCAATTGGGGACTAAGGTTGTTCGGATAACTTATTTTTCGGATAACCGATTATGTATGAAAAAATATATTAACCTATCCCATGTTGAAATTTTTCTCCGTTGCGTGTCGCTTTGCATTGAGTTTTCGTCGATGTTAAGCCTAACGTAAACTTTTCAAACTAATAATTGTGGCTATTGTATCGTTAAAAACTATTTCTTTATTTTTTACAAACAAAATAAATATGTTGAAAAATATAAAAACAAAAAAAAATTATACTTTAAAAGTTGATCTAGTATCAAAAACATTCGATTCAGCACGACACACAGTCCCCAGAAAAACACCACACAAAAGTGTCAGTGCTGCCAGCTAAAACAGACACACCAACAAAAAAAATATTAAAGTAGCCCAAGATATAGTCAAAGATTGCAGCACCACAGCACTAGCAAAAATTTAAATTTGCCGACTGGAATTCTTTCGGATTTTTTGGAAATTTGGATAAACGACGCCCTACTGTACTAAGAGAAACATCATTTTGGCATTATAGTTACTGTCATCTGTGGCTATTCCAAAAAACAATGCTTCATTTAAATCTTTAACACATTTTTACACACTGTAAGGGGCAAGTATATTTTTCACAATTGACATAGCCTTAGTTCTGGCAGTAGTTTGTTTAGTGGCTACTTTTGAGTCAGCATATATCAATGCATTCAATTTACTAGTACAATCTAACAAATTAAATGATTGTTGGTGAATATATTGCTTTGTACTCTAGTCAGCTCAGCAGTAGCAATTAAAACTTCTTCTTCCAAATGTTTCTTTATCATAAAACTAGAAATATCTTTAGAAGTTGAAGCAGTCTTGATATTTCATTTATGAAGATTTGTAACAATATAATGTTAGATGTCATATTTTCCACTATGGTGAATGGCGATACGAGAATTACAAATAGAACACAGTGCTTCAAATTCAGTTTGACCTTTCGTTATAAATGACCAATTTTTGGTATATTCGTCTTTAAAATGACACTTCCTCTTTGGCATCTTTTATTACAGGTATAAAAATGGTTTTACCTAAAAAAACACTCGATGTGCAGGAGTGAGCAATTATTTATTTTATTACACACGTGCGAAACAAATTAGTGTTCACCTAGCTCTGGCAGTTGAGACTGACTGAGAGATCTGAAGCGCCGCTGCATGCAGAGTTTAGAGAAAAAATGGGACAAATACGGTGACAGTCCTGTATGTACAGGACGTATGGCAACCCTACTCATCACCCTGGATAACAAAGCTGCGATTTCTAAGTGTATTACACTTGACTTCTTTGGCTGCAATTTGAAAAAATTGTAGACTTATAAATTCCCACCATCATCTGTCCACCCGTCTTTCCTTACTCTCAAGAACTGAGTTAGATAGATGAAATCCGAGACCAGATATGGAAACCTTAGGGGCAGGAGGCCCCAATTAACTGTAAGTGAACATACAATGCAAACCAGAAGTCATGTTATTTCAATTCAAAACTATTCTCCTGAAAGCAGTTAATAGATGATTGGCCCAACTCTATTGTTAAAGGAAAAGTATGATGTACAGAGGTAACCCACTGCTAATTTGAGGTGAAAAGCATATAGTTTAAATTAAATAAATTAAAAATATGATTAAAAATTGCATCTTGGCATTGTGATGATGTCATTTAAGAAAAACTTTACTTTGTTTCTTTTACAGTTCCTATAGTTTTTAAAATAGCACCTTTCCTTATTGAATGGCTGTGATTTGTAGTTAAGTGTCTTTCCGGATTTGCTGGAGCCATTGCTGCATGTATAAGCTGTTTGCCATAGATGACACACAATAGAATAGGGAACACGGCTGACTAGCCCATGTAAAACCATTGATAAGTGTGAGGTTGCCAAATTGGGGATAAACAGATGTCAGGATTTCAGATGTGGGATGAATGGAAGCAAGTAAGAGACCTGCAGTTACAAATAAACCCATTTATTAATTCTAAGTTTTACATATAACTGAGTGACTGTCGACAATTAGTGCTGGTCTGTTGGAGAGTCGATAGCCTCCTGGCGGTTGGTCAAGCAATTGTCTGATGAGAAGTCCAGTGATTAAAGTGACGAAAAAAACAGTCCAATGCAGAATGATGAAGATAGGGATGAAAGTCCGTATGCATAGATCACTAAAGGAAGGCGATGTGACCAATGGAGCAATCTGTGGAAGCGACAATTATTGCTCACACAGTGAGACAGAGAAAGTCCTTTGACCTTGAGATTGGGGTTTTTAAAGAATTTTCCCCAATCTCTCACTTTCTGATTGGTTAGTTTCTTGTCTCCAGGTAGATAACAGACCATTTCGGACCAGAAAGTGTCAAATTTGACACCTCGTTTTTGTTTGATGAACAAAAATTAATCGTAGTTTGAAACTCCTGCTCATATTTAGTTATTGTTTACAACCAAATTCTTGTAAGTCTGAAACATAATCTCCACACTAGATTTTAAGTTTATTTTGTTTTTTCTCTTGACTAAAAAGTTTTGTTCTTTCCCATTTTTATTTACATTTTTCTTTCAGTTTTTACAAGTGTTAGAATCAAAGTTCGACTCCCTGGTTTGACACTTTCATTAAATTTTTAACACGTGAGCTCGAGTATTGCTCAGGTCTCACATAAGTAGCTTTCGTAGAAAAATAAATTATGATTATGTTGTTGATTGCACAAGTACAGTTGTTTTAGGAGAAGAATATATAGAATTTTAGAATATCAAATTATTTTAAATTCAAAAATTATTAAAAAAAAAAGTTCCAATACCAATACAGTTACATAATTGAAAATAATTATTAAATTTATATAATTGAAAAACAAAAGTAAGATTCAATAAGTAGTTAAAGTAGAGTAAGCTATCAGATATTTGGAATAGCCAAAGTTGATGTATTACATGATTTTGGTATCGAGATTTTGACTATTTTCTCAACAAAAATAATTTTGGATTACATTATAAGCTTAACAGCACTCCAATCTGGCATTAAATTTCACAATAAACATAATTTTGACAATTCAATATAATTTTTATACTCAGTAATTCAAATTTGTACAAACGTAAGAGTTCTTTGTTGTTTTGGAGTATCTTGCCTGTATAGACAGAAAAACAAATAATGTGCTGTATAAATAAACAATTGGACATTACACTAATGTAGAATGTATTTAATTCTAGAATTAGTTGAAAAAAGAGGTTTTGAATATATTTGTTTTTCCTATTAAGTTTATTTCTTCATTGACCAAACATCTTTATGAAGTAGACCTTGGCTGTATTGAGATGATTATGTCTACTTTTTAAAACAATCTTTTCATCTTATCTGAAAGCCGACTTTTGGATGTAAGCATTGTGTACAACCTAGGCAGAGTTTATATTTAATTATTGTTGCTTGATAATGATTCTTCTTAAAGATTTAATTTCCTGGCACTATTAATATAACATATTATTAGTATTTTCACTTGTTTTTGGGAATGTAATGGCACAAACAATATTATTTCTGTAGAATACAAAGAAAGGTAATGCCATAGTAAAGTCTAATGTATATCTTCTTGACTGTTTTGTTTCTATTCTCCCATTGAAATCATCCTTATTTTAATAATGCCAGTATTTTTTTTACAGTTTGTTTCCTGACTTTTCTACTTCCTGCAAACACAGCCTCTTAAAAGTCCTTTATAGAAACAATAGTTTAGTTACATTTCATATCACTACTTACTGGCCAATCTGGTGTTTAGTGATTTGATTATTTTAAAGTTTGAGCTTGGTTGTTTATACAAGATATAATCAAAAATTTTTGTTAAACATAGGTACCTAAGTTTAATATTTTAACATGCATCAATTAAATATGTATGTACTTAAATTCAGATGCTGTGAAAAGAAAACAATTGCCGGCTTGGATTAGAGAAGGATTAGAGAAAATGGAACGTGAGAGACAAAGAAAACTTGAAAAAGAAAAAGCAGATAAGGAACAAATAGAAAGATTTAAAACTGTGGATTCTTCTCAAGAAAAAATTAGTGGAGATGACAAATCTCTATCTTCGGTTGATGAAACACCCATTAAGAGTAAATTTGTATGTTTTTTTTATTTTTTATGAGATAAATTATTTTGTTTCAGTGTTATGAGAAAGCATAAGCTTTATTTGATTGTTTTGAATTATAATGTAGGAGAGTGAAAGCGAAGACGAAACCGAAAGTATTAAAGAAGATAAAGAATCCTCTCCACAAGTAATTGTTCCCTCACCTGAAGTTGTAAATAAAACAGAAGAAGAAAAACAACAAGAACTGGTAATATTTTACATAAGTAATTCTATAACTTTAAGTTGTTTTTATTTGGATGAATTAGTGCAGTGGTTACTCTGCTGAATTAATAAGTGCATTTATGACAGTGGATGAAGTTTAATACAGTAGACCCCCCTATAACGCTTAGATACGTTCCACGCTAAGCGAATGTTATGTTATATGAATGATTAAATACATGAGCCAATCGCAGCCCGATAGGTGGGAACTTTACGGACTAAGGCTGTTCGAAAGGTTTTCTTATATAAAATTAACCGATTCTAGACTAATTCCACTCAACATTTCCAAAGCACGTATAATTTTTTGGGAGTAATCTGTACAAACTATGCTATAAACAAAAAATTATAGGATTACTTACCGAGTTTGTACCGTTCGACTACGCCGTTGCTTAAAGCTGATTTTCGTTGCGGAACAGCACATGAAACTGCGGCCGCGATTTCTAATAAATAATTTTTCGCAGAAAAATAACTTGACCTTTGGAGACATCATTAATATAAATAATTTTTATGGCCGTTGAATAAGAAGTGTTTCTTTCACAAGAAATGTATAAAATTAGTGCTGTATTAGACTTACGGTACCTAATTTACATACTGTGCAGACGATAATAAACTCAACTTACTAGCCTAAAATCTCCGTAGCGTGTTGCCAGGCGGCAGAAAGCATATATATAATTATAATAAAGTTACAATAAATTAAGTTAATATATAATTATATATACAGTACCTAATTTATATATAATTAATATATAATTATATGTACAGTACCTAATTTATATATAATTTATATATAATACTAAACAGACGATAGCAAACTCAATTTAGCCGCTCCGTAGCGTGGCGCAGGGTCGGAGGAAAGTAGTTCGGCTGCTCATCCACTATTGGTCCAGACTCTATCAATCTTGTCGCAAAACGACGTTATGGGAGGTATGTTATACGACAGTTTATACAATTTTTTCGCTACGTTATAGGAATTGTCGTTGTTGGAACGTACGTTATAGGGGGGTCGACTGTATACAGTTAAATCCCTCTACGGTGGTATTTTATGGAACGAGAAAAATTATCTTTGTAGAGAGATTTATTGTTACAGTGATAATTTTTAAAAGAGTATTTTTTCCTCATTTTAAGACTACAAATAAAAGTATTGTAAGCATAAAAAAAGTATTACATAACAAGTAAAACGGTGAAGTCATTTTTGGGATGAGAGTATGTCTCAGAGAGTGCACATGCGCAAATCTCGCACTAATGCCTGTTTGTAGAAACAGTCTCAGCATTTCATATTTTCTTTTGACCTGGTTCTTGGTCCTCCTGACTACCTACAAGTCTGGTTTATTTTATGTGTGCATGATTTGGGCACCAAATACTCTGTGTCAAATTGCAACTCCTGACATTACTCCTTCATACCTCTAAGGTGTGCAGCTGTTTGCAGCAGCACAATTTTAGAGACAAGACATAGTCTCGTCAGTAAAGTTACTTCTAAGATTCTAAGGAATTGAAAAGCATAATATTTCAGGTCTCCTGGTAGTACAGGACTTGAGTGATTTTATTGCATACTATTTCTACAGTATATGTTAAACATTAAAATCCAAAATCAGTGAGAACCTGAATCTTCCTATGCAAAACTGAACTAATTTTAAACATACAGAGATAGGATCAGAAGTGGAAACATCTTTTTGGACAAGAGTGGGCTTAAAATTGTAGTAAGTGTAATAAATTCTAGATCAGGGGTCACCAAACTTTTTTCACAGCCAGCCAGATAACTGAGAGAATGACAAGCGCAGGCTGCATAACCATTTTGTTCAATACAGTATACTGAATACACAAAAAATAAAAAAAAACAACATATTTATTTACCAATAAGCAAACACGATCGCTGCAGCAAGCTCGTAATCGCTTTTCTTAGAAACTTCATTGCAGGACTTACACAAAAAGCACTCTGATAGCCAAAGTTGCAAAAAGTAGCCAAATTTTTCACTGATTTTCCTAAAAATTATATTACTGTCAAATGCAAATATCAGATTGGACCAATTTTGGCATTTATACTTACACTTATTTTAATTTTTCTACGTAGTAAGTTCATCTATAATCTATGATATTTCCATATAAATAATTATGTTTTAGCTCATTAGTGGTTCAGTGAGGCAGCGGGCTGGATGAACTGACCTTGCATGCCATAGTTTGGTGACCCATACCCTAGATTATTAGGTGTAGAAGGGTTTTCATTTTTTTGTAAAATGGATTTAAACATCAGAACATACAATAAACATTGTTAATAGTAATTTGTTCACAACATCTGTGATAGCTACAAATTGTAGGTATTTGCACAGAGGAGATGTATGTTCAATCTCACCTTGGTTTTTTTACTTTGGTTTCCATCTGAGTTTTATTCACAAACATAAGTAATAAATTATAAACAGTGCAGAAACTTAATAATAATAATATCACATCACATACATTATAGACATGTCCATTCCAAACACTCACAATATACAAAACACATTCACTGAAAAAATTAGCAAGTACATAGAACTCGCCCAGGAAATAAGGCATCTGTGGAGGATGGATAGGGTGCTTATTGTACCTATCATTCTCTGCTCTACAGGTGTCATACCATACGCTGCACAAAAACCTGGGAACATTACAATTGAATATAAATACATACATTACCCTACAGAAGGCCACTATATTGAATACATGTCATATTATTAGGATATTCCTAAGTACAGGCACACACTGCTGACACACTTATTTAATTTGTCTTGATTTGGTTACTATGTGCCTTGACTCTGGTCCAGCATAGTACACAGATCTGCTAGATGCAAAACACAACATGTTTATTTTTAATCTTTGTTGCAGCAATTTTTTAAAATTGTAATTAAAGATACATTCTCAATTATATTTTAGTTTATTTCTTAAAAATTTTTCATCGAAACAGAAAATAAATTCATCTAGCAGAGCTGTGAAGTTGGAGTTGCTGTTGAAGTATAAGGTGGAGTTTGTAGATTTTTTTAAATGATTCTACAGCCCTAGCATGTAGGGAACTGAGATTCTTGATATAGTGTTATTTGGTGATAAACCTAACTGCATCTTTTCATATTGCATTTGCATTAGGATTTTGGTCATACTAAAGGCAAGGATCTAAGGAAGATGGGGAAATGCAAGCAGGGAAGATTTGATAATAAAGAAAGACAACAATGGTTATGTTATATGTACATGGGGGAAGTAAGAAGAGTGATAGCCAGATCCTCTGCAAACTCTGTCTTTCTTCAATAAAAATTGGAAATAAGGAATTCCATACAGTCTTCAACCACTCAAAATCTGGCAAAACATAAACAGAACACATTGTTTTGGGATCCTAGGCAGCTGCATCTTACTACATCTTCTGTATTACAGATAGTCATACTCTTCAGATGCTAAACATAATCAGCAATTAGTCCAAACATGCCACTTTACATTTCTTTGGTAAAAGGGATCGTGCTATAAGTGCTGAATTATTATGGGTTTTAAAAGTTGCATGTACAAACTTTATTACAATTTTAATATTTCTATCCTCAACAAAAATTCCCAAAAAAGAAAACAAGCTATTTTCCTTATTCTACAACGTCCTATCAGAAAATTGCTGAAATTTTTCATGTTACATTTCCTACAGGTGTCCCAAAAGAATTCTCTTTAACCTGTCTATGTTGTTCCTGAAAATATTCGTGTTGACCTCATTGACCTGCGTGGGCAATCCTGAATATTTTCGTGTTTACATCGGAACGTNTTCAACCACTCAAAATCTGGCAAAACATAAACAGAACACATTGTTTTGGGATCCTAGGCAGCTGCATCTTACTACATCTTCTGTATTACAGATAGTCATACTCTTCAGATGCTAAACATAATCAGCAATTAGTCCAAACATGGGACTTTACATCTTTTTGTTAAAAGGGATCATGCTATAAGTGCTGAATTATTATGGGTTTTAAAAGCTGTGTGTACAAACTATTCTAAACATCCTATCAGAATATTGCTGAAATTTTTCATGTTATGTTTCCCACAGGCATCCCAAAAGAATTCTTTTTAAACCCAAGGAAGTTCCACTGCTTAGTCACAGAAATAATAGCTCCATATTTCTGGTAAGAAATGCTGGAAGAAGCAAGTTTAGAATATTTTACCATGAATATATTTTTTTTACCATTATTTGCTCTGATAAAACTACAAATCATGAAGATCAAAAGGAGCTTATCAAATCAAAATTAGACATTGGTCAAATCTTCGAGATCAAGTGATTTGTAGACATTTAAAATCTGTTTTGTGTCATACAGATGGTGATACTTTGCATCACAAAATTCTGATTTGTGTCAGTAGTGTGAATTTGCCATTGACTAAATTGTTAATGCTTGACTCAGATGATCAATTGTGAATAAGAAAGTGTTGTTTAAAGTAAATGAAAATGTCATAGCAGTTAGATGATGAAGACTTGCTCTATTCATACTGTTCATAATGCATATTTGAAAACATTATTGGGAATTGTGGGTGATGCACCTGAAGTCGTGGTACTTGTTTGTCGATTTTTTGATGGATTGCTGCCATCACAGTGTGCAGAATATGAAGTGCAAAAAAATCAAGTTTTTCAAAAAAAATTGCTTGTTGAAGTGTTCTTTAAAAAGCTGGCTAACATTTGGGACTGCTGAACAAGCATAGTTGAACAATTGGATGCAGTGATATATTACTTTACAAAACATGTTCTTCAAAAACATTCCGGACTCCTGTTCAGCAGTCTGTACACAATAAGAACAATAAGAAGATTTTTAAGGCAATGTTCTATGAAAGCTAAGCTTCTTTTGTATATAAGCAGTGCTGAAGTATTTGTGAAGTTTATACAACATTTCCAGAGTGACAACAAACCCATGATTCATGTCTTACATTCAGAATTTGTCAATATCCTGAAATGCTACTTGATTGTATAAGTACTGTAGATGGTTGTAATTTTACTGAAACAAGTATAATTGATAAATCAAAAGACTGCGTGCAAACGGAAACTACCACAGGCTCGGGAACCATACTACAAACACCCATTTTGGACGGTCACGGGAAACAATGTAAACAAAATATGCTATGATCAAGCCACGATTACAGACAAAACAATCCATCAAAACAAACTAGATATTGTATTTGTGGACAGACAAGGCAAAATCACATTCATTACAGACATTGCTATAACAGACACTCATAACATATGCTAATTTTTCGGTGTACATACAGTACTTTGTATATAATTCAGAACTCCCATAAAATAAGGCATCTATGGAGAATGATAAATACTTATTTATCCTGTAGTATTTTCTCACACCAGCATACATCACATTACTGAAAGCATCTAAACCACGGGTTCCCAACCTATGGGTCGCGACCCAGAAGGGGGTCGCGACGGGCTTTCTGTGGGGTCGCCAACTTATACAGTTAACTAAAAAAAATGNTCTTGCCATTTTCACTGTTAAACTATTTTGACTGCTTTGTAGTAGAATTAGTTATAAAATTTAAAAAATAACCTATTTCATTTTTTTATACTGTTCATGTATTTTGTTAAAGATGCAGTTATGATTTTTTTATGAAAAACTTTCAATTATTCACTTGATTGGCTGCAATTTATCTATAAATTTCCACTGTTGTTTGTCTGTCTATCTTTTCTTAATCTTAAGAATGGAGTTAGATAAATGAAATCTGAGACCAGATATGGAAACCTTACGGGCATGAGGCCTCGATTAACTGTATACAAACATATGATGCAAACCAGAAGTCATGTTATTTCAATTCAAAAATTTTACTCCGAAAAGAGTTAGTTAGATAGATGACTGGCACAACTCTATTGTTAAAGGAAAAGTATGATGTACAGGGACAAGACACTGCAGTACTAATTTGAGGTGGATAGCATACATTTTAAATTAAATAAATTAAAAATATGATTAAAAATTGCAGCCCAGTATTGTGACGATGTCACAATAAATAATTGCTCATTTCTTGAATTAATTAATTATTTATATGTTGTTATTAATTTTTAACATAAAAGAAAGCTTTTATTTTGTCAAAACTCATAACCAAATTCACTACAAAAAAGTTTAAAATGTTTTTGCTTACAAACAAAATATTTTATTTGAAACCATGGTTATGTTTATTTCTGAAAATTGAAGGAATTTGTTATCTTTTTATAGGTAAATTATATTTTGTTTAATCAAAATTGATTAAACAATTTTAATTCTTTTTGAATGAATAGGAAATTTATGTGCAACTTTTGTTGAAAGACATTAATGTGTATTACATATGATCTTAAATTAGAAGCAATGTGCATAAAACATTGCATTAAATTTATAAGTATATTTGAATAAAATAATAAATTTAATTAATAAATAAATTGTAGGATTATATTTAGATGTTTCCTAATGTAACTAACTATATTTTCTTTTGATATTTACAAGTAATTATAGAATTACATATTTGTAGAGCAGATATTACTAAGAGTATAAATAGTAAAATAAACTAGAAATTAATATATCAAATATTTAAATGAAGACTATATTAAAAAATATTTGTAAAGAATGGTTTCAAATCTGGTTAATTTATTGAATGTGTCTCCGCAATGACTTCCTTTGCTTCTCTGTCTGTTGATTTAAAGGAATGCAGTTTGTAAAGATTGTGTAGTAACTGCATTAGTTTTATACATTTTGTGTGTGTTTTTATGAAATTTGCTGTCTGATCTTTAACATATGAATAGAGTAATGTATTACAAAAAAGGTAAAAATGTAATTTTAACGTGTTGCTTTTGATGAATTTTATCAAATTGTTCAAAATACAAATCATTTCTGAAATTAAATGAATACGTCTGAGATACAACGTCCCGAGTGGCATTGATGTTAAGAACTGTTATTTGTTTGATGATTTGTTCTTAAAATTGCTCTTTGACCCGTAAGTATTTTAATAGAAAAACAAAATACATTGATTTTGTTTTCCGATTCCCAAACAACTGTATTAGGCATGTTAACTCGTTCGTCGGGTTTTCCCCTGACACGGTAATGCATTAATCTTGTATGTTTGATGTAATTTTTTCCAATTGTAGGTTTTCTGAATTTAGGGGAAATGTTGAGTGACCTCAAACACTTCCCATTTAATTCCTTTATCTGATCTTCTATTGTTTTCAATGTTACTAAACTCTGTATGTATATCTCAAAAGCTCCAGCTCGTCAGCTGGCCACCTCTTCAGCTCTGGCTTCTATTACAAGTGGATTGGGTAAGTATTGTAATCTGGATTTATCTGGAGATCTATATACAGGCTGTGTCAAAATTTTGTCCTGGTATAAACTTTAAAAAATCTATTACATAAGTTTGTAATTATCCACAAATTTTAATTTTCTGATGTGTGTAATTTCATTAATTTTTTTCTGAAATATCATTTTATCAGATTTATGTTTTGGTTTGATAAAATTATTTAATACCTGTACAGTTTTATATATTAACAATATTAATTTGCAATTCACTGTAACGAAAGCTTTTTTTTCTCTTTCTCTCTCTCTGTTTCATTCTTTTGGTATTGTTAGCTGACAAAATGATTCCCAAATAAATGATGTTTTGTATGGCATTATTTATCAGGCAACGTTCATTCTTTTTAATTAATTGCAGCACTTGTCTTTTTGTCAGATATTTACAGAATTATTTAAATTCAAAAATTTTATCTTTTGATCGTTTATAACGTTGTGATGCTGTTAATATGAAATTTTTGAATATATACATATTCCAAGATATCTGATGAAGCAATAAAAAGCTTTGTAATTTCAATTGTAAAGGTGTGAGTATGTTATTTTTAATACGTTACATAAAGTTATTGTAAAAGCATTTTTTAGTAAGTGTCTTTGTTTTATTAAAATTTGCAAAAAAATGTGTTAAGTTCACAATGTTGGTAAGATTAATTTTAAATTTAATTAATGTTTATATTGAGTATTTTATTTTCATTGAAACATTTATTATGCAGTTTTAATTTCAAAATCTTTCTCGTTAAAGTGAATTTTTATTAACAGTTAACATTTCCAATTACTGGCATATCGATAACGTGTAATTTTAAATGTATAAATTTTGACCGCCGGGAAAGTCGTGCAAGAGCCCTTGCCAACTTTTTGTGTCGATTATAGAAATTGGCAATGTGTCAAATCTTAGTTAATAAGATTAACCTGGAATTATCTAATATCAAAGTTGTTATGGTGGTGAATTTTTCACTCTAGACCAACGGTTCCCAACCTTTTTCGGGTGGTGACCCCTTTTTATAAAAGCCAAGTGACCTGCGACCCCGATACTATTGAAAAAGACATTTTTAATAAGGTAATAAAAAAAAACAACGAAATTAGTTTTTTAGTATAATTTTATTTTAAATTATGTCTAATAATTTAATGCGACTGTTGAAATTATATGTTATTAACCAGCCTTAAAATTCGCGGGCAAGTTTTTGTTAACGCCAACCTCNATTACCAAAAGCAGCTAAACTAAACACATGCCACATAGGAAATTTTTAAATACAGATGTATTCACTAACAGTTCAGTACATAACTGCTTTTTCAGTAGCTATTATTCCTTGACCTTAGTCTGATATTGCATAGGCACTGGTATCAACTCTGTAGGACACAATTGGCTAACACAAAGAAAGATAAACAAACAAATAAATTATACAATTTTAATATTTAGCATATCATTTGATAGATGTTGAGAGTTAGAAGAATGCTGACGGAAATTTTATTGGACGTAACTACCGATCAGATTCTAAATGTTGCAAAAGAAGTTCACCAGAAAGCATTGTCCAAAGGTAGGATTATTATGGATGTTACATTTTAATTTACTTTTTTCTGAAATATTTAGCATTGAAAAAATTAATATAGATTTTTATTTTTAAATTTGAAACTTATTCAGTTCTATTTACGAAAACATTATCAATGAGTTTTACGTGTTTATTTTAAAGATGTGATTATTTACTTTCAGAAGTGATTATAAAATCATAAGTTAAATTTTTTAGAATTTTTAAAATTTAAAATTATGAAATCAGTATCTGTAGGGTTGTTGTTGTTGCTTTAGTTTTAGGAAACTTAACAAATTTGGTAATAATATTGGTAGAAAAATATACTCTGCTAATGTAATTCATATTGTTTAGAATGAAATATAATTTTAAAAAATGTGATACCTGTTCTTCATTTAAACTTTTTAATGTATATTTACATGTCACACATTGTCTTTAGTAACTTAAATTGTATAATTGTTGTTATACAATTAAAATTTGATTAATATAATAAAATAATTTATATTACTTTAAAAAGTTGCTTTTACATGCATCTGTTACTTTAAAATACTTGTCTATATGTTTTAAATTATGTATATCTATAATTAATTGACCTACAGAATTATTTTAGAGTGGTCAAAATTTAAAAATGTTATTTCACAGAAGTGCAACATTGAAAAATATTTGTGTGCATTCTGTGTCGATTGAATAATTCATATATCAGTTCCAAAAAATACTCTATTATTTGTCAGGAATGGGGGAATTATTCAGTTTTTGGAAAGATAAAAATGAATAATAACAATTTTCTCAAGCCTTTTTATTTTAAAAATATTATAATGACCATTTGACTCTTAAGAACTGTTTATTTGACATGTTTACATGGCCATCTTTTGGTTAGGGAAGTAGGATAGGATGCAAGTTCATTGTTAATATTGTTTATACTGTAATGTTTCCGTCTGTCAGAAGACCTCTGTTTGTTGGGTGTTGTTTCCAGAAATTCGGCGAATTTCTTTTGCTGCCGTAAATGCGTAAGTGCATAATGGGCTCCGCCATCAATTATCTAACTAATATTTAATATCTGGTTGATTCTTACTTTTTGTCCCTTAAAAAATATGGCATTGTGAGTAAGAGAACAACTAATTAACATTTTATATGAAATTGTGCATATCTGAAATTTGCATATATTTGTATTCAGTTAACTTTATTACAATAATTAATCAAATAATGTTTGAGATATTTTAAGTTTCATTTTCGTAGTGGGTTTAAAAAGAATCTTAAAAGTGGTTGCAAATGCTCAAAAACCTTAAACTCAGCCATGCGAAGACCGAGTATTTTGTATTTGTATGACAAGTTGGTTGCACAAATTTTATTTATGCCGACTTTTATTTTTATTTTTTCCTTGTGAAACTTTCTTTTGCATTTTTTTTAACATGACATTTTTAAGTAAACAAACTTAAATTATTCATAAATTAAAATTCAAATGAAATGTGGATCTTGCCATCTTCACTGTTAAACTATTTTGACTGCTTTGTAGTATAATAGGTTATTTTTTAAATTTTATAACTAATTTCATTTTTTTTTCACAAATGTTCATGTATCTTGTTAAAGATGCAGTTATGATTTTTTAATGAAAACTTTCAATTATTCACTTCATTGGGCTGCAATTTATCTATAAATTTCCACTGTTGTTGGTTTGTCTGTCTTTTCTTAATTTCAAGAATGAAGTTAGATAAATGAAATCTGAGACCAGATATGAAAACCTTAGGGGCATGAGGTCTCGATTAACTATATACAAACATATAATGCAAACCCGAAGTCGTGTTATTTCAGTTCAAAAATTTTACTCCGAAAGGAGTTAGTTAGATGACTGGCACAACTCTGTTAAAGGAAAAGTATATTGTACAGGGACAAGACACTACAAAACTCATAACCAATTTCACTACAAAAAAGTTTAAAATGTTTTTTGCTTACAAACAAAATATTTTATTTGAAACCATGGTTATGTTTATTTCTGANTTGGTGAATTTATCACTCTAGACAAACAGTTACTTGTACTCACAAAAACAATCTTATTAAAAAAATTTGACAATTTGGTTTGTTGTTTGACTTAAAACGTAAATGAATTTTTTTAGGTATTTGTACATGGACATACATAATAAAATCACATAAATTTATCATTCTTTGAATGCTTTTGTTTATTTATTATTGTATGGTTTTAATAAAATAGTTCCGCAGTATATCATTATCTTTTAAATATGGGATACAAACGGGACTTGCAGACAGTGCCGTCTTAATGCTGGACAGCTGTCCGAGAGCTTTGTGTTAATTTATGTGCAGACCACAATTTAACACTAATTTTCCAATCACCACCTGTCAGTCGTTTAGGCAGGATCCAGTACACTGCTTTGTCCGGGGACTTACATTGCCATCAAGACGGTTCTGTGTACGGATCGGAATAATCGGTTAAACCTTTCCTTACCGACTCACTGGATCAATTGATCTCGTCCCTTTATAAAATTTTAGAAATGGCAATTTTACTTGACAGAGAACCATTTCTAAAAAAATGAGAAATTATGTTGCAAAGTGTTGAATTTTGTATCCAAGCAATTGAACATTATACAAACATCCTGTTGTACATGTACTCGAAAATACAAGTATGAATATGCTTTGCTAATTAAATATTTTTGAAGCTATTATGTGTATTTATAGTTATCTGTTTGATTCAACAGTTCTGATTTCCAGATCGACAATAGTCTCCATCAGTTGGTTAATGCAATATCTTTTGTAATTCTATGAGTGATATTTACGTAACGAAACCATTATTAGAATGTGTAAATATCAATGTCGAAACTGAAAGAAACGTAGCACAAATGCCAAAGTTACTATTTTCTTACTCAACTAATTGAACTTGAACTTATTTGTTCAAAACTATTTAATCAAAACATAAAGTACTCTTTTTTCTTGAAGATTGTTCTTTTTANTATTATTTTCTTACTCGAATAATTGAACTTATTTGTTCAAAACCATTTAATCAAAACATAAAGTACTCTTTTTCTTGAAGATTGTTCTTTTTACATTACATATTACTTCAAAAAGTTTTGCAACTTGCACTCTTCCATCTGCATAATGCTGTCTAATATTTTATTTATAATTGTAATGGGAATAGTTATTTCGTTTAATTTTTTCCTAGGAAGTGCAGCCATTCAAGTAATCAATGCCAATAACTTGTCTAAGCATTGTTAGAAATTGTTAATTCTTGCCGACAGAAGTTCTAAATCATATCATCATTGGTTATTTTTCAATGAGTATATATATATATATACATTCATTGAAAATAACCAATGATTGAAAAAAATAAATTTCAATTAAATGTAGAATTAACAATTTGTTTAGAAAAATGCCATAGTTGTTATGTTTAATTGTTTTAATGAAGTTTTCTTTGTAGAAAAATACTTTCAAAAATTCCTAGATTAAAAGATCTTACTATTTTCTGACTTCTGTATGTGTTACATAAATTTATTTTGAATGAGATTTTCACAATAACCTCTACTGAACATGTGTGTACCTAACTGAATAAGTTGGTAATTTTACAATGTTTTATATTTTACTAATTTGTTACATTTATGTTTAATGATACATTAAACATTAATGTTAATTTGTTTTTAATGAGATTTATAGATTCAAGATATATGAAAATGCTTATTTATATTTTTATATATTTTTGTTAATTGCTTGTTTGAGAAATTTCTCAGAAATTAAGAAGTTGATATTCACTTTTTTTTATAGATACAAATATTCATTTCTGTTTTTAAAAAATCAAAAATTATGATTAAAGTAAAAAACTGTATTCATTACCTAAATATTTAGAACTAAGCAGAAAATAATTCCAGAAACATTTAGACCAGAAGGTCTCTAAACTAATGCCTGCTAGCCAAATACCATTCCAGACACACATTTATTCAGCTTGCCTAGTTCAGTTTTTGCCAGCACATTTTATCGTCAACATTCAAACTAGTTCAAATCACATAAGCTTCTGAAAAGTCAACTAGAATTAATAGACTTTGCCTCAAATGATTTTTATAAAATATACTACAAACATCTTTAAAACTGGCAATATTTTTAATTTGAACATTTTCAGCAGCTTTTATTTAGCCTTTAGACTTTTGAAGGAGTGCTTTTAAACAGAAATTAGAATATAGAAGCAAAATTTAAAATTGACTTTAGACAACTGATGCTACAATCACATTCACTTAGCTGGAACAATTCTTTGTGTTGTTTGATTATAAACCAGAAGGAAATGTCATAATGATCAGTTATATTTTAGGACTTTTATAACATTTTTGTTATAAAAATGACACCAAATAAAAATAAAATCTAACTATATAAAGCTGAAAACCAGATTCATTCTTTCTGTCACTGTATGCAAAAATGGCCACTAGGAGCGCCCCTAGCTATTATTTAAATTAACAATAAATTCAGTATATTATTATTTGATGTGGTTTTTGCATTTTTGGCTGCGTTTCAGTAGAGTACGCCATGAGAAATTCAGTATATTATTATTTTTATTTGTAATAGGAATTAATTATTTATACCATGGAATGACACGACTCCTGCTAGAACACCCATTAGGGGGCATCCCGAGTTACTACAATAGAAGTACAAAATAATGTAATCTTAACCAGTTAAATGTTTTTGTTCACTTTATTCGAGTTTCATAAAATCCTGTTTAAAGAAGGGAATTTGTTAAATTTTTGAAAATCTGTGCCAAAAGAGTATTTTAAGTCTTGAAGTTGCATGGGAAATGCTTTATATTTTTGCTTCTACATATCTTTGTGAACAAACCTTTTTGTAAATGAAATATATGAAATCAAAATATTAAACATTATTGCTCAGTGAACATCTAAAGGGGATTTTATTATTGGGTACCACAAAATTTATTCTGGATTTTGACAACATTCTTTTGAAAAACAATTGCAAATTTTACATTGATTTCTGTTCATTGGTATTTGGAGAAGAAATCTTTGACTATATCTTTTGAACCTGACTCCTTTTATGGCTTATGTGACCTCTCTCATAAAAAGGTTGGAGGCCCTTTGATTGATTTAGACAGTGATTTTAAGACACGTTTGATTGTTTTTATATTGACTTTATGCTTTTGTCTGTCGCATATCTTGGAAACTAAATTAATGTTATTGATTCGGTTCGGAATGGCAAAATTGACAGATGCTTTTACGAGTACAGTAGAGTCTCGATAACTCGACATTCCGTTATCTCGTCGTGTCGTTCAAAAATAAATAAATGCTTGTAATGTCATTTTTACCACTATAACTTAACACTAGGATCAAATAAGTTGTTATTCTTTACTAGCAACATTTGATAATATCATCAGTTCCACGTGCTAACAAAGAATATAACATTTTTCCAAAGTGCCACTGAAAAACAACATGATGAGAATGTCACTAACTGAAAAGTAGCCATTGAATGGCCAATATTTTTTAACACTTAACTGGTATTGTAAATTTGACAAACGTAACTGGTATTGTG